TGTTTGCCTTTTCTGGCAAAGCAAGACTTTTCTGACTTGCCTTGGTGAGAGGATATGGAGACTTCCCATAGTGCCTTTTGAATTGCTCCCCTATGTCCAACCTGTTTGTCTCTGAACTGGAAACCATTATTCTGATGAGGCTGCTCTCATCAGTACCTGAGCCCTTCACTGATTTGTAAAGAACATGTGATAAGCAGCCCAGATGCCTCTGACATGGAACTGAGTTCCTTCAGATTTCCCTTTCAGCTGAGGTAAGTTTTGGAGGTAGAAATTGCCAGGCCTCTTACCTGCTTAGCAGTGGCTGCTTTGTTCACACAACGGTTCTGCTTTGCCTCAAGTCCATCGGGGGATCCCTGCCTCATCACCATGACTCACAGGTCACAAAAATCAGGAGGCAGAAATGATCTGATCTTAATGAGAAGTTTCTTGACTGCACATGTAATGGCCTGGATGTAGGATGAATACATGCTTGTAGGTGACCTGTGGGTGAACACAAAATTCCTCTAAATTGTCCCAATTTTTATATCATTGATCAAACAAATCTGATGTCTTCCCTTCACCAAAGATTGTTCCTCAGTAGACACAATATTGACACAAGGTCTTTTCCTTATTCTGAAGACATTTCTGAGAACATCCAGATGGATTCTCTCACACAGTTCTGCAGTTTATCGGCCTATTCCCTCTTTTTTTGGTTTTGCAACCTGGAGGGTGGGCATGGATTATTTTCCTTATCTCATCTTTCTGTTATAGTCAGACCCAAAATTTAACCTTCACCAGTGACCTCCATGTTCTAGAGAAAGGCATGTACCCACTGAGCACATTTATAGGGTTTTTTTTCATTATAAATCCTCTGATGAAAGAAGAAGAGATAATCTCTGATTGAAAGCCTTCCAACATGGAGTTCATAGATGGCTTACACCCAGAGTGAATATTTTGCTAAGAAGCTCTGTACTCCATTTCAATGCCTTTCCTCATTCAGGTCAGTTATAAGATTCCCATATCTCCCATGAATTCTCTGATGGTAAACAAGGACTGACTTTAGCCTGAAGGCTTTACTCCATTGATTACTTTCTTAAGGTTTCTTGCCAGTATGGATTCTCTTATGTTCAGCAAGTTTTTAGCTGGAACTGAGAGCCTTTCCACATTGATTACAGTCCTAAGATTTCTCTCCAGCATGGGTTTTCTGATGTACAATAAGATGATTCCTCTGCTTAAAAGCCTTTCCACATTGGATACATTCATAAGGTTTCTCTCCAGTGTGGGTTCTCTGATGTAGAGTAAGACTGGTATACCATTTAAAAGCCTTTCCACGTTGATTACATTTATGAAGTTTCTCTCCAGTGTGAATTCTCTGACGTTGGGTAAGACCACCTGTTCAAGTGAAAGCCTTTCCACATTTGTTACATTCATAAGGTTTCTCTCCATTGTGGATTCTCTGATGAACAATAAAACCAGCCCTCCATATTTAAGCCTTTTCACATTGAGTACATTCATAAGGTTTCCCTCCAGTGTGGATCCACTGATGTTCAACAGTACTCTTTCTACATCTGAAAGTCTTTCCACATTGATTGCATTTATAAGGTTTCTCTCCAGTGTGGATTCTTTGATGTCTAACAAGACTGTCTTTCCATGTAAAAGTCTTTCCACATTGATTACAGTTATAAGGTTTCTCTCCAGTGTGGATCTTCTGATGTTCAGCAATATTCTTTTTACATCTGAAAGTCTTTCCACATTGATTACATGTATAAGGTTTCTCTCCAGTATGGATGCTCTGATGTTCAACAAGACCATCTTTCCACGTAAAAGTCTTCCCACATTGATTACATTTATAAGGTTTCTCTCCAGCGTGTATTCTCTGGTGTACAATAAGATGAGTCTTCTGTTTAAAAGCCTTTCCACATTGATTACATTCATAAGGTTTCTCTCCAGTGTGGATTCTCTGATGTCGAGTAAGAGTATTCCACCATTTAAAAGTCTTTCCACATGGATTACATTCATAAGTTTTCTCTCCAGTGTGGATCTTTTGATGTTGAACAAGATTGTCCTTCCATGTAAAAGACTTTCCACATTGATTACATTCATAAGGTTTCTCTCCAGTGTGTATCCTCTGATGTTCAACCATAGTATTTCTATACTTGAAAGTCTTTCCACATTGGTTACATTTATAAGGTTTCTCTCCAGTGTGGATTCTCTGATGTAGAGTGAGACTTGTACACCATTTAAAAACCTTTCCATATTGATTACAGTCATAAGGGTTCTCTCCTGTGTGGATCTTTTGGTGTTGAATAAGGCCATCTTTCCATGTAAAAGTCTTTCCACATTGATTACATTCATAAGGTTTCTCTCCAGGATGGGTTCTCTGATGTACAATAAAATGAGCCCTATTTTTAAAAGCCTTTCCACACTGATTACATTCATGTGGTTTCTCTCTAGTGTGGATCCTCTGATGTTCACCAACACTCTTCCTACATCTGAAAGTCTTTCCACATTGATTAAACTTATAAGGTTTCTCTCCAGTGTGGATTCTTTGATGTTCTACAAGACTGTCCTTCCATGTGTAAGTCTTTTCACATTGATTACATTTATAAAGTTTCTCTCCAGTGTGCATTCTCTGATGTTGAACAAGACTGTCCTTCCGTGTACAAGTCTTTCCACATTGATTACATTCATACAGTTTCTCTCTAGTGTGGTTTCTCTGATGTAGAGTAAGACTGTTCCACCATTTAAAAACCTTTCCAAATTGATTACATTCATGAAGTTTCTCTCCAGGATGGATTCTCTGATGTGCAATAAGATATTTCCTTGCTCTAAAACCCTTTCTACACTGTTTACAATCATAAAATTTCTCTGCAGTGTGGATTCTCTCATTTGTTGCACAGATTTCTCTACAATTGAAATCAGAGGGACCATAGCTCATCAATCTTTGTTTATGAGTTTCTTCCACAGAAAGGGTTAGTGCTGCAGTAGTTTCCTTCATTTCCAGTCTGTTCCATCCTTCTGAAAACAAAATCCAACAATTAAACAAAAAAAGACACTATACACAGACATATATTTATATCTCCTTCCCTCTATCAGCAGAATATAAGCTTAGTTACTTTTTATTGCCCCTGGGAAAGAGAAAAATCTTAAAAAGGGTGGAAGCAACTATTTTAAAATGCCATTAGCTCACATCCCAAAGATGATTTAATTTACAAAGAGCTTCATGCACAATCACATTGGATCCTCATATCAAACCTGTGACACAGATAGGACCATCATTTTCATCACTTTCACAACTCAGACAATGAGCTCAGAATGACTGAGTGACTTGACCTAAATCCCAGCAGCTGAGACTAGAATCCAAACTCTGAATGAGTGTGCTCTGTCCACAGTACTAGACAAATCATCTTCACTTTCAATCTTTCCCTTTCCCTTTCCCTTTCATTGTCTACATTTCAATCATTTCTTCATATCTATAATGCCATTTGGTGCACATATATTAAATATCCAAATTATTTCATGATCTATCCTACCTGTAAACATAATGTGATTTCCCTGGTGATCACTTTCAATCTTATTTTTTCTCTTGAATTATTTGAGGTCACATGAAGAATACCAACACTTTTTTGGTATTTGCCTGAGGCATTTTGTTCTGACTCATTATTTTTTTAGACAACAATTTCTTATTTCTTTTTAAAAATTTTTCATTCAAAGCCTCTGCTCACTAAAATAAAATTAAAATCCTTCTAAAAACACAATGAAAAAAATGCATGGTATTGCCCATGTCTGCAAATGTGTCTGATACAAGAATTGAGTTTACCATCCTTTTGTACAGAAGTGGCCAGCATATTTCACTATTGGTCCTTTTGCACCCCTTCCCCTTTGTAGGTACATAAATCCCTGGAAGGATAGCGGCAATGGTCCAACAGATTGGAGCTAAAGATTTGTCAGTGCTACCTTAAGCTGTAAATAATTGTCCAATTTGGTTACAAAGATATTTATCCTCTGGGACAACAAGTATGTGCATGTTTCAACCTTAACAGCTGCCTTTCTGCAGTGATTCCAAACTATCACAATCGGAAATACACTTCTTTTGGGGATCGTGCAGTGAGTACATCAAACTCTGACTGCTTCTGACTAAGTGCAACATATTCTTTCAGTTTCTCAACTTGATATCAAATTGTTTCCAAACTTCCAGGAAGGTTGGACATTCATATGCAAATGGTCACAAGCATGCAAACACCCACAGTGGCTGTCTATCACTGCACCTGAGTAGTTTTCTCATTCATGTGCTACCTTGTAATCACATCTCATCAAACCTGAAATCACTAGATCAAGATCTCACTTGAGTTTGCATTCTTGCAGCAATCAGGGCAGGCTATTTGAAAACCATGATCACTAAGCATGCACAGTAGAGGTCATCATGAAACCATCATGGACCACCACAACTTTTTTACAAAAACAGACCTTAAAATGCCACTTATTGAAATGCTAAGGTTATTTTCTAGTTTGACTTTCTGTGTTCATGCTACTCTTCTTCTATCTGGCAGTTTCTCAAAGAATTGGTTGCCAACATGGGTTAATCATTCAGTGCAGTTTCTGTGAATGTGTAGAAGTATCTCTGGAAGAAAGCTGAAAGGTCATGGAGTCCAAATCCCTCATTTTACAGGTGGAGAAACTGAGGCTCAGTGGTTCAGTGACTGACCCAGACAGCCACTGCTAAGAAATATCTGAGAAAGAATTCCAAGTCAGGTCTTCCTGCCCCAAATTTAGCACTTGCTTCACTCTAACACATAGAATTATTGTAATCACAGTTGTTGCTTACCTGCTTTCACCTTACTCACCTGGACAGCAGCTCCTCAGGCCTTCTTGCTCCAGCATCCATGGGGCTTCCCTTTGCTCGAATAGGAGATCACATCTTCTCTGGGAACTGGAAGCCCTGGGCATAGGGAATGAGTTAGGGATGAGCATGGAGAGAAACTTGTAATTTAGTTCTCTTTAGGGAAAGGCATTCAGACCCAAAGCTGCTCCATTTTGTAATTCACTCTATTATGTTCACATATATGAGTCTCTATTTACCCATTTGGGATTGTGATGCATGTAACTCAAAATAGGATATGCCACATTATCCTGTTGTACAATTTGTTCTGAGAAAGAGCCAAACCTCTGCCCCCTGTCCTGTCAAGTTCCACTCTGGTAGAAATTCCTAATTCCAAAACTGGCACAAAGGATTATTGTGCAAGACCAGCCTCAAGCCTTAGAAACAGGAACCTTGATGAACCAGCTTTTGCACTCTCCTTTCCCCTGTTCTTCACTCCCTGAAACACATAGAAACCTTGTCTACTGTTCATTTGGCGAGTTTGTGCCTCTTCAGGTAAGATTCTCCTGCTGGCAAGCTCAAGAAACCTTAGTTGGTCTAAATTCTATTTCTCAGCCAGTCTGTTATTCCTGGCAATGCCAGGGACATGCACACAAGGATCCCAGGATGGCTCCCCAGACTCTTGAAGTATAGTCTCATAGCATTTGTTTTCTGAGCTTTGGGAGAAGTGGGGATAAGATCAATGAACCAGTTTGGAATCTGAAAATTTGGTCTTGGTTCAACTTCAAAGAAGGATGAACTTTTTACACACTTTCCATTCTTTAGAAATTTGATGCAGCTGATGATGCAGTGGAGAGAGCCCTGAGTCTAGAATGAGACATGCCAGAGTCCAAATCCAACCTCAGACACTAACTAGCTGTGTGTCCCTAGACAAGTCACTTAACCTCCATTTGCTTCAGTTTCCTCAACTGTCAGATGAAGAGAACAATATCACCAAACTTGGAAGGTTATTATGAGGATGAAGTGACATAATATGTAAAGGAAGCCCTTGGCCCAGGCCCTGGCAAATAGTACATGAATATAAATGCTTATTCCCTTCTCTTCCTTTCCAACCATCTGTGCTGGAATTTGAGGGCAATAGGAAGGAAGTTTAGGTACAAAATTGCTATATGCAGGACAAGTAGAAGCCATGAGCTAAAAGGTGATGCTTGGGGTTTTTTTTTTGTTTGTTTTTTTAGGCAATTGGGGTTAAGTGACTTGCCCAGGGTCACACAGCTAGTAAGTGTCAAGTGTTTGGTCTGAGGTTGGATTTGAACTCAGGTCCTTCTGACTTCAGTGCTCTATCCACTGCACCACCTAGCTGCCCCCAAAGGTGATGCTTGTTAAAAAGAAGAATATGCCAAATACTAGACTCATCCCAAAGAGGAAGGGCTTGTAGGGGAAAGCCACCTGAGCAGTTTTCAGATAGTTGGTGGACAAAATTCATGTCCAGGTAGAGGTTAGACTGAGTAACCCCTGAGATTCGTTCCATGTCTGAGATTCTTCCACACTAATTTGAAGCAACTTAGAAGTGGTAAGAGACATCTTCAGGAGCAACACAGGAAACTCTCAGGTTCCTATCACACAACGAAAAGATATTTTACAAGAAAACCAGGCAGCAGGACAGGAGACCAACTCCCTCTAACAATTGATAAATGCTCCAAACTCTGCACACTAGGGAATGAAGTTATTCCTTTGATTGTAAACTCAGCATTCCCAGGGGAAGTGTCCTTACCCAGGGAGAGCAGGTTCTGGGCATTCTCCAGCATGACCCCCTTGTACAACTCCTTCTGAGGATGGTCCAAGAGGCCCCACTCCTCATGGGTGAAGTCCACAGCCACATCCTTGAATGTCACCAACCCCTAAATCAATAAAAGTCATAGGATATAGAGCTGAAAGACACTTCAGATTTAAATAGTCCAACTTTCATTAAATTTACAGAACAAAACTGAAGCACAGAGAGATTTGCCTAAACTCCTAAAACCAAGGTCTTTACAAGCCTAATTGAAATTTGAGAAAAGCACTTTATGTGATCAGTTGGAATAAAGCTGAGAAATATTTTCCTCTGAAATGTATCTCCCTGTGGAATCAGGGAAAAAGTTTGTGTTCTATCTGTGAGGTAGGTGGGTCTGTGGAGCAGAAGGAGAGAGGGTGGGGGAAATATCTTCCTTATCAGGTGCAGTGATATAAGTGATTTTTTCTTAAATTAACTTCTTTTTTTAATCTCTTATGTGCGCTTCAATGGAAAACTCTAAAATTTATTTCCTTTCATATTAACTGGAGTTACAGGAAGATTTACTCGAATCCAAAGAATATAAAGACCAAATAAAGTAGAGAACTTATGCATCAGAGGAAGGGGAAGCCCCAGACCAAATTTGTATAATATGTGCATATACATGTGGGTCTATACACATATGTATATGAATATATGACATTCCTTTATATAACAAATAGATATTACATGTACAAAATGATTTGCATGTTATCTCCTCCATGAGAAGGTGAGCTCTTTAGGATTAAAAACTGTACTTTACCTTTTAAAAAAATATTTTATTTAAAATTCAGGGAACAAAACAAGTATTTCCATAAGAGTACAATAAAAAAAAGTTGATTGCATGTGAAACTGCAAACCTACCATGTACAACTTCCTATTCCCTCCATATATACAACTAAGTTACCATGTAAATTTCTTCCCTCTCCCACCCATTCAGCCCTAGAGATGACTAGAATTAGTTCAATACATACTTTTATCTGCCAGTTCTTTCTCTGGCTTTAGATAGAGTCTCTCTTTATATGTCCTTTTTTCAAATTTGGGTATTTATAATAGTCAAAATGACTTATTCACTCAAAGCTGCTCTGAAAACAGTATTGCTCTTACCGTATGCAATGTTCTCTTGGTTCTGCTCACTTTATTCTTTATCCTTTTGTGCAAGTCTTTCCATGCCTAAGATCATTGAGCTCATCCTTTCTCACAGTACAGTAGCATTCCATCACACATCACACAGCATAACCCATTCATCCTTTCCCTAAATGATGGGGATCCCTGCAATTTTCAGTTCTTGGTCACCACAAATATAAACATCCCACTCACATTCAGAGTTATGCTTATTATCTCTGAATTTCTTTCCATCTTATTTTCACTCACAATTTGCTTTCTCAGTGTCTTTTTACCCTATCCCTTTTACCTTATCTTCTCCTCCATCCACTTACCCCACCCAATTCACCAATGCCTCCAAGAATTCCGCTATTCCCTCCCCCCAATTTCAATCCACAAGACCTCCAAACATCCCCCCATTTTCACCCCCACCCTCATAAATCCCAAACCACACTCCCTCTAAAAAGTCCCTCCCCAACCCTGTTCCCCAATTTTCTCACCTCTCTACATGTTCAGAAGACTTCTACACCATTTGAGATATACATACTTTTTCTTTTTCAACCCAGATGACAGTAAGGCTCCATCATTACCAGCCCTCCACCCCTACTTGCTTCTGCTGTATTAGTTCTTCTTTTCACACCCCCTTTTTCCAATATCATTTCTCCCTTATGTCTTTTCCTACCCAATTTTGTTTTTCATAATCACCCTATCATACACAACTCAGCCACTACCTTTCTTTCAAACTTCCTTAATAATGATGACAGTTTTAGGAATATTGATAACATTTTCATATATATAATAAGGAAACATTTTAACTTTAATGGGGCCTAATAATCAGTCTTCATTTTAATGTTTTCCTTATATTTCTTCTGGAACTTTTATTTCCAATTTTCCAATGAGTTCTACTTCTTTTGTGACAAATACCTGACAATCTTTCAATTCATCGAATGACTATTTTTTTTTTCCATTCAGGATTATACTCAACTTTGCCAAGTAAGTTATTCTTGGATGCAGTCATAGCTCTTTTGCTCTTCAAAATATAATGTCCAAAGACATATGGTCTTTTAGAGTGGAATCTGCTAGTTCTTGTGAAATCCTGACTAGATTTCCACAATACTGAAATGCTTTTTTTTTTCTTGTTGCTTGCAATATTTTCTCCTTAACCTGGGAGTTTTGAAACTTAACTATGACATTTATGTATGTCTTCCTCTTGGGATCTCTTTCAGGTGGTGAATGGTAAGTTTTTTCTATTTCTACTTTACACTCTTGTTCTAGAACTTCAAGGCAATTTCCTTAATAATTCTAATTCATAAGTTATATGGTCTAAAGAAAATTTGGTGAAAAGTCTATGTGAACCTGGCAGGTAAGTGATATTGTGGAGGAAAAAACATTAATGTGATCACCTAAAAGAGAACAAAATTAAAGAAAAGATCTAGTTTGTTTCCTGAATGGCTGAAATAAAGTCTTATCTGGAAGAAGATTCTAAAGAGCTATTAATTGGAATCTGGATTTCAGTGAGTTGTAAGAGATGGTTCCCTGCCGAGTGATGAAGAGTTATCTGTTGTTACATTGAGGGCTTGAGGTTACTCTGGAGATGATATATCATAGCCAAAACAACTTATGCTTTTGCTATATGATTGCTTTCATTTGTCTATGACATACATTCTTTAATTATAAAATTAATTACCTAGAAATAAAAGTATCTATGATGGAGAAAGCCAAGCTAGGTGGCTTAGTGGATAGAGTACTGGACTTGGAATCTGCAAGACTCATCTTCATGTGTTCAAATCTGGCCTCAAAAAGTTGCTAGCTGTGTGACTTTGGACTAGTCACTTAACCCTTTTTGCCTTAGTTTCCCTATCTGTTAAATGAGCTGGAGAAGGAAATGGCAAACCACTCCAGGCTCTCTGCCAAGAACAACCCAAATGGGGTCATGATGACTGAAGGAGTAGGACACAACTAAAAAACAACCCAACAACAATAACTTAAAACAATAACAATAACAATAACAAATGCTTACTGACTAGATCCAAGAAAGGGTAAAGGGGAGGGATTCAGGGATTCAGGGAGACCAGGGAAACCTGCCTGACTCAGTCTAATGAGGAAGAACTTCAAAACAAACTGGGGAGGGAAGAGTCAGTGCTCCATATGCCAGAGTGCCAGTGAATCAGTTTACCACAGAGAAGCAGAGAGCAGGGCAGTGTTTTTACTGCCTTATTCAATTTCATGTCTATTTTCGTAAAGAATTGGCCCATAAGGAAGGTATTCCCAACTTCATGGACCATCCTCTCTGTTTAACCCTAATCCTAATTAGTTAATGTTGGTCAAGTCTATGGACACAAGACTGCACTCACCTGGGGTGGGGGGCTGTGGCTCCCAGGGGCCATTCCCTCTGGCTCCAGGCTCCCTGCTTGGACCAGGCCTTGGTGCTCTGCAGACTGAGCTGGGCAGGGAGAAGGATCCCAGTGGGGTAAGGTCTTTCTCTTCTCTTCCTAGGCAAGAGGCTGGCCTGCAGGGATTTACAGAGAATGAAGTCCCAGAGGAGTTACAAAGGCCCTGGCCCTGACCTCAGGGTAAAGACTATACAGAGGGAGGAAGGAAGCAGAGACGGTCAGGCTTAGAAATGTAGATGGTCTGGACAAGAAGACTACTTCCCTCCCTCTCTTATTCCTCTTCTGCCCTCCCCCATCCTCCCACAGAGACCCAAGAGGCAGAGGGGGCTTGGGATCCCCAGATAGGATGAGCCCAATCAGAGCCTCAATGGCTCCTGAGTCAAAGCTCTCCCTCCAACTGGCCCTCTGCCCTCCCTGCATCCCCTCTGTCTGATTCACTCACACATTATGCAGACAACAAACTGACTCCTTGTTCTAGGAGGGAGGGAAGCTAGGGAAGGTTGAGGATGGGGAGGGCTCTTGAAAGGTGACAACAGGGAATAACCAGGGGAAGCCTGAGACAGGGAGAGAAAATCTAGTTTGGGATTCAGCCCCCTGGCAGGGGGCCTGAGGCAGGGAAGCAGGAGGCCTGGGTAAGGGGAGCAGGGGTAGGGTCTGGGAGGCAAGACATTCTAACATAGCTCATGGCAGGGAGGTGGGGGACACTGGAGTGACAGAAGGGCTCCAGGTAGACACTGAGCCTGGGAAAGCAAGATGACTGTGTCCTGTGGTCTAGGAGCTGGGGAGGACTGTTGGCATCCAAGCTTAGGCTTGGAATCCCTAAGGGGAAACTGGAGACAGGAAGCCACATGCCTGGGATCTGATAGGGAACCAGCCCCAGAGCCATGCAGATAAGGGGAACCAAGAAAGAGCCTTGGTAACTATGTCTGAGTCTGGGTAGGTAGGTGGGAAGGTGGGATTCTTGGATTTTCAAAGGGTGCCAGGTCTGAAGGCAAGACAACGGAATTTCTAACCAAGACCTTAGAGATTAGGGGACAGGGAGACAGGACAGCTGAGTCCTGACAGGAAGGGTGAAACCAGGACTCCTGGAATCTTATGGGCAAAGTCTGAAGTCTGGAAAAGTGTTCTCCAATGGTAAATCTGGGAAGGTTGAGCCAGAAAGTTTGAGAAGTGATTGGGAGTCTGGAAAAGATTTAGGGGCAGGGAGCTCATCCAGTAGCCAGGCTAGGGGGACGGTGTGCTTCTGGCAGAACTGGAGGACACTCATCATAAGGTCTGATGAGAATAAGCCCCAATGACATGGGCAGCCAGCAGAACAAGGAAATGTGGGGGAGGGGGGGCCCTCTGGCTCAGGTCTACCCAGGACCCACAAGCACACAGATGGCTTCCAGAAGGCAAAGCAATCTCAGCTCCAGGGAAGGCAGAGTGACCTCTGACACAGGGGAAGGCAGAGGGATCTCAGCTCCAGGGAAGGCAGAGTGA